TAAAGTCAGAATTCTGTATTTAATCTCAGAATTCAGACTTTTTTCTCAGAATCTAAAGTCAGAATTCTGAGATTAAATTCAGAATTCTGACTTTATTCTGAGAAAAAAGTCTGAATTCTGAGATTAAATACAGAATTCTGACTTTATTCTGAGAAAAAAGTCTGAATTCTGAGATTAAATACGGAATTCTGACTTTATTCTGAGAAAAAAAGTCTGAATTCTGAGATTAAAGTCAGAATTCCTTTTTTTTTTAATTTTCAGTGGCCCTAATCCTCTTCCGTAGATTTGAGCAATCTCAACACATAAAGATAAATTGTTCATGCTGTTTTATAAAAAACAAAAACTGTTGCCTGTTAGATTGATCATATTCTGTCTCTTGGCCTTTTTTCTCAAAGCCACGTTTTCATGATTCATAAAAATACATTCTACTTCTTCAATGAAATACAACAATTGTTCAGGTCTACTTTTGCTCTGGCTAATAATAAAAAAATAAACCACATAAAAATATATAATTAAAAATATGTAAACAGAGGAGACCTGATAATTTCAAAGTTGTATAGCTATTTAGTACATAACTATATACAGTATAGTGATTACATTAAATCTAGGAGCAGCTCTGCACCATGTAGAAACTCTGTCACAATCACCCCACTTTTATTTTGAAGGCGCTCTGGGCCTTTTTCTTTTTTTTTTTTTCTTTCATTTGTAAAACGTTCTTGTAAAAAAATCTTATTTCAGATATCTTGAAAGACATTTTGATCCATCAAAATGTATCTGAACACATCACATGTGACTTGTTCTTCATGCAGATATCTTAAATTATCATTCAGAATAGTCGAAATGGAGTTGTGTCCAGTACAGTAGTCAAAACTCGTTTTTAGGTAAGTAGAACAGATAGTGAGACAAAACCAATTTTATGTTAAAACGGCTTGCTGTACAATCGTTTCTCTTGCTAGTCAGAATGTAAATGCCTACGGACAAAGCCGATTTTATCTTAAAACGGTCTGCCATACAGGCGCAACCTACCACTTCCGTCTTCTCTCTAGCACGGTGAGACATCAAACCAAACATACCACTGTGCATGATAGTTTGTATTGTTGCTGTTGACAAGTCTTCTGAGCTTTTTATTTACGTTGGTTCTTGATTTGTCATGACAATAATTTGTGTTTTAGTCATGCTTTTAGCTCCTTTTCACGGCTCTGGTGAGTATTGAACGATGGTGGGCTTAACTTTATTTACATTTCACACTGCAGGCTGAGGTTYTACTTCACCGCTAACAAACCGAAGTAAAATGTACCTTATAACTAGAAACTACACATTTATAGAGTTTATGTTGGGTTTAATTCCTTTACAGAGTAAAGGGGCTTTAAGTACTGACTTTAAGTATTAATGCGTGATAATATTGCCTAAAGTAGCTAATGTTTTGTTGTAATTTTGTGTGTTGAGTTATTTCCTCCCTATGCAGACGGGGAACTTTTGAGTTGTGGTTGAATTTATTTTGCGAGTAAGGGCAGATATTATAAGTATATACTTCTTTCTGCTCCTTTTCATTCATGAATTTATTTTATTTAGTTTTGTTTTCCTTGACATTTAGATTTTGTATGCATGCATCATTGTTGTTTTTCTATT